CATGATAAATAAAGTTCTTCGAGGGCTGGAGTGATAGCACAGCGGGTAGGGTGGTTACCTTGCATGTGGCCGAACCAGGTTCGATTCCCAGCATCCCATATGGTCCCCCCACCCCCACAGCACCACCAGGAGTAATTCCTGAGTGCATGAGCCAGGAGTAACCCCGAGCATCGCCGGGTGTGACCCAAACAGCAAAATTAATTAATTAATAATAAAAAATAAAGTTCTTGGCAACCCACCCCCAGCTTCTCTGATGGCAGGTACCTTCACCCCAAACTTCTGGAGATGTTGGAGGAGAATCTGGCCTCTGCCACCCTCCTCCACGGAGAACAGAGGAAATTGGGACTTTTCATTTGTATAGGAACCCCAAAGTTCTCTCAGGGAGGGAGGAAGATACACTGTCAGAAATGTGGGGTGCTGGGGGTGGGGAACGGGGCTGGAGACCTATAAGAACAGGTCGGATTAAAGAGATCGCACTGCGATTGTGTTGGGGTCCGGAGTTCCCTAGCCCTGGGAGGCACGGAGAGACCAGACAGACAACGTTCCTGCAGGAATTCAAGCTGGGTTTTATTCAGACCAGCTGCTGGGGCTCTGCAACATACCCAAGAGCGGGCAGAGGCTGAGAGCCTCGAACTCAGAAACAGGTCATCTTTTATACAGTTTGAGAACAAAGACCACATTTTGCCAATACGTGTTTTGCTGGGTTCCTTGCGGTTTTTCTTGGAGTATCTCGACCCAAACTTCTTGACCTGGTCACATAGTTTCAGTTTCCAGGATGGTCAAAACACTCTATCTTTAAATAGTTATGTCTTATTCTAGCTCATACCTTACACATCTACTGGGTTCAATCCAATTTTGTAACCTCAAGGCTGCTGAACTGTTTACAGAAAGCAATTTTGCAAGTTAATTAACTCCTTCCTAGCCTTCCTAGCTCCTTTTAATTGAAGAGCCGGCACAGCCGTCTTCTGTGCTCACCCTGGGTTCGATCTCAGGCACTATATAGAGTCACCTGAGCCGCCCAAAAATGTGTTGAGGGCACCCACAGCCCACACCCCAAAATAAAGAAGCCAGAGCCACTAGCTTAGCCAGTCAGTACTGTAGGCGATGGAGCGGAATAAGGATCTGGACGCTCTGTACAGAATTTTTTTTTCTGCAGAAATCCTGAGGGTCCTGGGGGCTACAGTGAGTTCTGGAGGGAGGTCTGGAGGGGGTGGACCTTAGAGAAACGTCCCTGGGAGGGACGGAAGCGCCCCACAGCGCCCTCTCGTGGTGTGTCGGCGGAAGAGCCGTGGCCCGCCTTCCCTGCGCTCAGGATTTGCGGCCTTTGGGTTTGCTTCTACGTTAACCCGCGGGTCACTGAGGATCAAGCAGGCCGCCTCAGGCGTGCAGCGGTGCCGAGCCCCGAGGGCGCCTGCCTCGCATGCGGCCACCCGGGTGTCGGGATTGAACCCAGCAGCATGGCAAGTGCTTTGCCCGCAGTAGAATCTCTCCCCTTTCGCAAACGGTTCCTGTCCTGGTCGGATGCACACCTTCGCGGTTTTACGTGGAGGAAGGTGGCATCAGCTCGGCATCCACAATTTTAGCATGAAGGAACCCTCCATGAAAGGCTTTGTGTGTGTGTGTTTCGGGGGGCCACGCCCGACAATATTTTGGGGTTACGCTTGCCCCTGCACTCAGGAATCACTCCTGACAATGCTCTGGGGAGCGCGTAGGGTGCAGATATAGAACCCGGATCGCCCCACACAAGGCAAGCGCCTTCCCCGCTCAGCATTCGATCCCTGGCCCGAGGCGGCATGCTGGATCCTTAATTACCTCACACCTAACTGAAGCAAAGACAAGGGCTGGAAATCTTAAGCGTGGGAAAGTCGGGCCGCGGCAGTTCAACCGAACGCCACGAGATGGCGCTGTGGGGCGTTACCGTTGCTCCCTAGGAAGGTTTCTCTTCAAATTTCCTCCCTTGGGTTTGCTTCAATGTTTGGTATGGGGTAATTAAGGATCAAGCACGCAGTTTTGGCCGGTGCAGCGGTAGGAGAGCAGGGCTCTTGCCTTGGCTTCACAGGACCGTCATCCGTCCTTAGCTCCCCATATGATGTTCCAGCCCATCAGGATTCCCGAGTGCAGAGCCAGGAGTGTCCGCTGACCATCTCTGGGTGTAGCCCCACAATGAAAATAAGAAAATAAAAACAAAGCAGCCTCAGTCCCTTGATGGCGAATTCCCTCATCCAACTTGGGGGATTCTGAATTGTATCTTCTTCCATGCCCCACTCCTCCTCGTGGAAGAGGGTTGGGGCACCCTCAGAATGTGGGTGATGGTGTGTGGGTTGCCCATAACAGGAACCATTTCTAAATGGCTTGGTCACAGACAGCAAAGTGGGTTCAGAAGTTTTCTTGATCCGAGTGGAGAGAACAAAAAATAAAAGAAAATGACCTTGCCTTGCTCGCTCCAGGCCAGGCAGGCTCAATCCTCTGCACCCCTCGTGGTCCAGAGACCAAGCTTGGGTAACCGACTCAACACCCCCGAGGAGATTCAACTATGTACCCCACATAAGGTGGGAATCAAATCCTGGTTACCCGAGTGAAAGACAAGCACCCACACGGCTCTCCTACCGCTGCACCTGTGGAAGCTGCTTGCTTGATTCTCAATTAGTCCACACCTAACGTTGAAGCAAACCCAAGGGTGGAACATTCTTAGAGAAACGGGCCTGGAGAGGGACGGAAACGCCCACAGCACCATCTCGTGGCGTTTCACTGGAACTGCCACGGCCTGACTTTTCCCACGTTTAAGATTTCCAGCCCTTTTCTTTTTTTTTTTTTTTTTTATAATTTATTTATTTATTGAATCACTGTGGGAAAAGTTACAGAGCTTTCGGGTTTAGGTCTCAGTCATGTAGATACCAAACACATTTCCCTTTACCAATACTCATTTTTAACCCCGAACCCCAATAGACCCCCACCTCCCACCCCTCCCAATTCTTTGTGAGGCAGATGAGTTCTAGTTAATACTCTATCTACTTTGACTAGATAGATTATTTCGATAGAAGATGCACAATTATTGTTTAGAGTTTACGACCCACCCCCCCCCAATCAGACATGCTGAAACAGCGTTGTGAAATGATTTTCCAGCCCTTTTCTTTGCTCAATGTTAAGTATAGGGTCATTAAGGATCAAGCAAGCCGCTTTGGCCACTGCAGCAGGAGCAGAGCGGTTAGGGCTCTTGCCTTGGAGTCACAGGACCCTGGTGCTTTCTTTGGTTTTCCATACAATCCCACCGTCATGCCGGAGTGATTCCTCAGTGCAGAGCCAGGAGAACCCCTGAGCGTTGCTGGGTTTGTGGCCCCCAAACCATGAACAAACCAAATAAAGCCAAAACAGCTTCAGTCCCTTGATGGCAAATTCCCTCACCTCAACTTCGGGGGTCTGAGTTGTATCTTGCTGTATCCATGGCCCCTCTTCCTTGCAGAAGTGTGTTGGGACATCCTCAGAACGTGCGGTTGACTCTGATAGGAAACCCTTCCTAAGGTCTGGGTTCAATCCCAGGTACTCATAATGGTCCCCAAAACCCTAAGGGCTCACACAAAATAACCCCCCCACACACACACAAAATCATCGGGGCTGGAATGATAGTACAGCAGGTAGGGCGTTTGCCTTGTACGCGGCTGACCCGGGTTCAATCCCCGGCATCCCATATGGTCCCCCAAGCACCACCAGGAGTAATTTCTGAGTGCAGAGCCAGGAATAACCCCTGAGAATGGCTGGGTGTGACCCAAAAAGAAAAATAATACTCGGCAGAAGTTGTATATTTAGAAATTTCCAAGGAAGGAAATTGCCTGGTCTTAGGCTCATTATTCCTGTGTTAATTAAAATTCTTAACCTACCCCCAGTTCCTCTGACGGCAGGTACCTTCACCCTAGACATCTGGAGATGCCAGAGTTGAATCTGGCCTCTGCCACTCTCCTCCACGGAGAACAGAAGGCATGGGACTTCTCATGTGTCCAGGAAACCCAACACTCTCTCAGGAAGGAAGATGGCACCCCTCAGCAATGTGGGTTCGTGGGGTCTGGAGATCTTGTGAACTGGGTTGGTTTGGAGGGATGGTCCTGTGGCCAGGCACGGCCTCTCCTGTGTCACCCTGTTTGCTCTTGGGAGCTGGCTCTGGAGCACTGCCCACTGGGTGTCCCTCCACTCAGAGAATGAGTGGGGCGAGCCCCAGGCAGCACGGACACCCGGACACAGTTCACCAGTTTATTGTCTGACCCAAGGCCCAGCAGGGCGCGGGCAAGGCCGGAAGATGCTGGACTCTCTCATCCCCTTGAGCCCTTGGCGGGTGTAAGCGAGTCGAATCCACCCGAGGCGGCCTCCTCTTGGCACACGGATTCCCCGAGAACGAAGGCAGCACCATTGGGATCCTGGTCACCTCCCAACCCCCACGCCACCCCATCCGGTCCACACCTTCTGATCTGGTGGGGTGATTTGGGGGCGGGGGGTCGGAGGCAGGGGTGGGGCAGCATCTGGAGTGGGGCTGAGGCAGTGGGGGTCCCACACAGCTCCGCCAGGGGGCCCTAGTTCCTTCTGGAGTTCGACTTTGGTTCCTACACTCGGGGACCCCTGCCCGCCTGCTCCCCCAAATGTCAGGGGAAGCTGTCAAGCTGTCTCGGGCTGAACAGGATGGAATCCAGTGGTCAACAAGGAGGTCCGAAGCACCAGAGTTCTGGGGGGACAGGGTGGGAGGCAGGTTTGGGGGGCCTGTGCCAGCTCTGAGCCGGAAGTCCTTTGTATGGGGTGCAGGGGTGCCAAACTTCCAGCTACGCTTCCGCTGCGGCCCCCAGGAGAGGAGGCGAGGGGTTTGGGGGTCCCCCCGGGGCTGAAGAAGGAAGAAGATTCCTTTTGTCTGACTGTGAGGCAGTTGCAGAAGATAAATAGGGTGGCTCAAGGCCTCAGCACCATTAGTGCCCCCGTGGGGGCGTCAGTCTGTCCCCCTGTCCCCTGAACCCCCGAGGTTCTCAGCTACTGAAGCAGACGGGCCCCAGCTGGAAGCCGAACTTCTGGTTGGGCTGTCCGAAGTCGGTGGCCGCCACGTCAAGCAGCGGCAGGACGCGTCCCTGGGCGGCGCTGAATTCCAGCACGGTCCTGGCCTGGCCCTTCCGGAACTGCGGGGTGCGGGCAGGGCGGGTCAGGGGCACGGGCGCTGGCGCGGGGAACCCCCACCCTGCGCCCCCATCCCAGCGCGCCCCTCCCCACCCCCGCCTCCCGCTCCGCAGACCTGGCAGTCGTCCTGGGGGACCCGGAGCATGGCCACCGCCGTCTGGTTGAGGCCCAGCTCCTGGCCAGCGGCCCCCCGGAAGCGCAGCGCGTGGCCCTGGCCCCCCGCGGCCGCGTCCAGCCCGGCGGCCGAGTTCTGGCACAGGTAGGTGAAGGTCTGCCTGGCGCCGGCGCTCAGCAGGGACAGGAAGGTCAGCTGCACGCTGCTCACCGGGGCACCGTCCGCGTCCACGTAGGAGAACTGCGGGTTCAGGGGCAGGAGTCGCGGGTCAGCGGGTGCCAGGGGTAGCCGATAGCCTCGGCTCTTCCTTGGTTTGCACTTGGTTCTGTTTTTGCACACCCGGTGGTGCTCAGGGATCACTCCTGGCGGGGCTCAGGGGACACTCTAAGATGCCTAGGATCGAACCCCGGTCGATGGGTGCAAGGCCAGCGCTGGACATTGCTGCAGCCCGGCCGAGCCTTTCCCTTTGGAGACGCCTGTGCTCTCTCCCCAGCACGTGCTTCTCTCTACACCTTTCTAAATAAGTTTCTATAAAAACTATCTTGTTGGGACCCCAGCGATGGTACAGTGGGGAGGGTGCTGGCCTTGCACACAGCAGAGCCGGGTTCGATTCCCGGCATCCCGTAGGGTTCCCCTGAGCACAGCCAGGAGTAATTCCAGGATGCAGAGCCAGAAATCAGCCCTGAGTATTGCAGGTGTAGCCCAAAAAGAAAAAAGAAAAAAAAGAAAACTATCTTGCTTCACACACACACACACACACACACACACACACACACACGCACACACACAATTTAAAAAAATCCAGTTGAGCCTCTCTTGACTCCAAGCTTCTGCAGTCTGTTCCTGCTGCTGGCACACTTGTCCCTGTTCTGCCAGTCATTGCTCAGGCCTCAGGCTGCACCTCGTCCTGAGGGGGCCCGTGGGTCCTTCCAGCACACACAGCCCCCAAACTCCCACTTCACCTGTGGCTCCCCCGCCCTCTCCCCCGAGCCAGCCTCTCTCCTCCAGGCCCGCCTGCGTCCCAATGCCGTGACTGACCTTCTTCCCTCGTCGGAAGGAGCTGTACCAGCTTCCCGGCTTCTCCCTGGACCATGAGGCCAGTTTCACCTGGGAACACAGTGGAACACAGACTGTGGGTGCCTCCACACCAGCATCATTTTTTTTTGGGGGGGGGGCTCAGCCTCCTAAGAAGTGCTCAGGGTTTGGGGGCCCCTCCTGGTGAGAGTTGCTTATCTGGGTCTTGAGGTGCTGAGGACCACCAGGGCCATACCGGTGTGTGGGGAACATGTCGTGCCATGGATCAAAACTCGGTCTTTGCACGTTCAAGACATGCGACCCGCCTCCTGAGTTACCTCCCCAGCCCCTGCCCAGCCCTTGTGGCCCTGTCAGCCCAGGCTGGATGCTGAAGGTGTCTGGGTCTCCCAGGGTGCTTGTGGGCTTCAGGAGATGTTCGATCCAGCACACACTCTACAAGCAGTGATGGGTGGACGGAGCTGGTGGGTAATTGCCCCTGGTTCTCGGCTCCTTCTCAGCCTGTGAGGGGCGACTCCCAAGAGCTGCCTGCCTCACGTTCTCCCAGATGTCTCCAGTGAAGCCAAGACGGCAAAGTAACCAAGCTCCCTGGGGGCCACTTCTCCCAGCTTGTCACCACCCACCATCCCCTCTTGCCCTCGGGGGTGGCGAGATAATACTAGAGGTTCCAGCCTCCCACACAGCCGATCTGGGTTCCATCCCTGGTAACTGAGAGGGTCCCCCGAGCCTGGCCAGGAGTGATCCCTGAGCTACGTGTGGCCTGCAGACAAATCTCATTATTAATTTTGTTTGGGGGACACACATGGCAGTGCTTGGGGTTGAATCCTAGCGGGTCTGAGGGACCTTACAGGGTACCGGGGATCAAACCCGGACCAGCTGCATGCGAGGCGAGCGCCTCCTCACCGAACTATCTCTCCGGCCTCACATAAGTGGAGTGGGTCCAGGACCCAAATGTGGCTATTTGGGTGGAAGGGCTTGTCTCAGGAGCCGCGGGGCCAGAGCGACGGCACAGAGAGGAGGGCGTTGGCCATACACGCACCTGACCTGGGTTCGATCCCCAGCATCCCACAGGGTCCCCCAAGCACCGCCAAGAGTGAGCCTTGAGTGCAGCACCAGAACCGACCCCATGAGCACTGCCAGGTGTGGCCAACCCCCCGAGAAAAAAGAAGGGAGCTGGGGGCAGCGTGTGCGGGAGCTGACAACATGCACCACGCACCAGCCCCACAGATCTGTCACAAGCCTGGAGTGGTCGCGTGCTGCGGGGGGGGGGGGCAACGCCCCCAGCCAGGTACTCACCATCTCAAACTTCTTGTCTGGATAGAGGCAGGTCTGACCTCCAGCCGTGAAGTTGCAGAAAACCCTGAGCGAGTCCCGGGCACAGCCCTGATTGGGGTCGATCCAGTACTCCCCTGGGGGGTGTGGCTGGTGAGTGAGTAGGCAGGACTCCGGGACCCCCCCACCCTGGGGGGCCGCCTCACCATCCGGCAGCTGTGGGTGGTGCCGCTGGAGCTCGCTGCACACCAGGCCCGGGTGCTCGGCCGTGCCTGGTGGCCGGCGCAGCCGCTCCAGCTCCTGGCTCAGCGAGGACACGGAGGCCAACACCTCCTCCAGGCCGTCCTCTGGGCTGGGGAGCCCCCGGCGGTGGCGCTGGAGCAGCCCCTGCAGCTCGGCCCGGGGACCCTGGGGTGTGGGCACCCAGTGGGGAGATGCAGGGGTGAGGCAGGGGTGAGAAAAATGGGGGGACAGGATTAGAGCCCTTGAGTGTGATGCGGGGTGGGGGGACCCAAAATCAAGCCCAAGGCCCCCCCGACACCAGCCCAGCCCAGACCCTCCTGCCCTGCCCCAGGGTCTGGGGGCCCTGATGAGGGACGGTCCAGCACAGCGCTGAGCAACTCACTGGGGGGCCTGGGGGCCCTGGGGGGCCCATGTCTCCGCGGGGTCCAAGTGCTCCCTGTGGAGAGAAATTATTTGGGGGGGTGTGGAGACATTGTGAGACCCCATTCCTGCCGATACGCATGTACACAAACATGCACACAGACCCACATGCACACACCCACACAACACATACAGACACATGCGTATACACGCAGACATACACAGACACACGTGGCACACAGCGCCATACTGACAAATGTCGATACACATGCACACATGTGCACAGACACACATGTACCTACAGATGCATACACAATCCTCCACTGACACATATATGTGTATATACAGGCTATACAGGCATACATGGACACAAGTGGCACACATATACACAGAGATGCACACGCAGAGACACACACATGAAAACAGACATGCATGTACAAACACACAGACACATGCACATCCCCTCAGACACACACATGCACACACACATGTGCACTCACACACACACAGACACAGACACACACACATCAAGTCTGACATGCATTGGGGCCACCCCAGCTGCTCTGGCTTCCTCCCGGCTCAGTGCTCACAGAGCACCCCTGGCGGGCTCGGGGGACCGAATGAGGTGCTGGGGATGGAACCCGGGCAGCTGCCTGTGGCGCCTGGCTCCGCACCCCCCTTTCTGATGTGCAGGGATCTCGGTGCTTCTGCCAGGCTCCCCGCAGCCCGGGCCAGGGAGACAGTGACAGGCTGGACTGGGGGCACAGCCGATACTCACCGGGGACCCCTTGGCGCCCTTCTCTCCCAGAGGGCCCTGCGGGGGAGACCAGAGGACCTGAGTCCAGCTGACGCGCCCACCACACGGCCCCCACCCCGCAATCCCTTCTACTCACCACCACGCCGGGGGGGCCTGGGGAGCCCAGAGAGCCCTTGGGACCACGGGTGCCCTGGGAGAGGACACGAGGGTCATTCTTGGGGGAATCCGCCCCTCCGGCCCACACCCCCCCCTCCAAGTAACAGGGCCCGACACTCCCCCATCCTCCCCCCAGCACCCCTCCCTCCCTACTGCCCTACTGCGGGGTGCTTACAGGCTCTCCCTGGGGGCCGGGGGGGCCCTGCACACCGGGAAGTCCTCGGTCCCCCTTTTCGCCTGCCTCCCCGGGGGGGCCGATGAGGCCGATGAGTCCAATGTGGCCCTGGAGGGGAGAAGGCGTGAGGGGGGTGGGGGGTTTCTCCCCGGAGGCACCGGGAGGGGGTGGGGGACTCACCTTCTCGCCCTTGAGGCCAGCCTCTCCCTTCAGCCCTGGAAGGCCAGGGGGACCCTGGACAGAGAACAGGGCTGGTTGAGCCCCTGCGGCTGGGGGTGACAGGGCCCAGGTCCCATTTCAGGGGGGTTGCCAGGGAGGGGCGGGGGGGCTGGAGGGAGGGCGGACAGGAAAGGGTCGGGTAGATGCTCAGTGGTCAGGAGCATGGACATCAGTGCGGGTGAGGACACAGGGGAGTGCAGCAGAGGCGGGTGGGGGCTCTGGGTGGACCCTCTTACCAGGGGGCCAGGTGGGCCCGTCTGTCCCGGGGCTCCCAGCAGGCCAGCCTCACCCTAGGGCAGAACAACCGGTGTCTACACACACCAGACACAGTGGACAAGTCCCCAGCCCTGCCAGTGGCCCAGGGGAAACCCCACCCCAGTCTCATCCCACTCACCACAGGGCCGGGGATCCCGCGCAGACCCTCGGGTCCCTCGCGCCCTGGGGGGCCCTGAGCCCCCATAGGGCCTCTTCTCCCTGGGGGCCCATCTGGGCCGGGCAGTCCCTGCAAGGGACAAGAGAGGACAGAGTCGGGGTCACACAGTCGGCACTGAGGGGGAGTGAAGCCAGGGTCCCCTGGCCCCAGGCGGCACCCCAAGGCAGGGTGGAGTGGGGGCCGCAGCCCCTCCCACCCATGAACCTGAGGCTCACCTTGGCACCCTTCTCCCCTTCCCGGCCTTCAGGTCCTAGGCGGCCGGGGGGACCCTGGGGAAGAGACAAGAGCAGGGGCTGGTGTGACGGGTGGGGGGAGGGGGGCGGAGGGGCGAGGGGGCTGAGGTGCATGCGGAGACTTGGGGTGCGGGGGGCAGGGCAGTGGGGTACGTGGGACAAGGCTGCGGCTGGACACTCGCCACTCACCCTCTTGCCGGGGGGCCCTCGTGGGCCGGGTTCCCCAGAAGCACCAGGTGGACCCTGCGGACACGAGTCCAGGACTTGCCTTTCTGGAGAACGCTCGACTCCCCGCTCCCCCCACCTCACTCCTGCGGGGGCGTCCACCTGTCGCCGCTCCCCCCTCACCCGGCACCGGGCCCCTTCCCACATCTGTCCCCCACTCACCGGCATGCCAACACCCCCGGGGTCTCCCCTGTCTCCTGGGATGCCGTCTATACCCTGTGTGGGGGGACAGTCAGGAGATCTGGGGGACATGTGGGGACTTGGGCGCAGGGTGTGACTCGTAGAGATGTGAAGGCGATTCCCCACCCCCCAACTCCCAGGTCTCACCCAGGTCTGGGGTGGGTGATGGGGAGACAGGACAGAACTTGGGGCAACGCTGAATGTGGAGAAGGGGACACACTCACCGGCACACCAGGGTCTCCTGGGGCCCCGAGATCTCCAGGGAGCCCCCTGGGGCCCTGAAACATAAATGGGTTTACAATCACCCCAGCTCGGGGAGCCCTCACTCATGAGCGTTCCCAGAGTGCAGAGGCCCCGCCGAGAATAAGGGCTGAATCCTCTCTGTCCTTCCTGTTGGGGGCTCCCACGGAGAAGTGAGCCCCAGAAAAAGAGGCACAACAGGTGGGGAGATGCAAACGGAGGTCCCATAACTGGCACTCCTGCCGCCCTGCCCAGCTGAGACCCCATGGTGCTGGCAGGAGGGTCCCCACTTTCTTCTTCTTTTTTTTTCTTTTTGGGTCACACCCGGTGTGGCATGGGATTACTCCTGGCTCATGTACTCAGGAATTACTCCTTGTGGTGCTCGAGGGACCATACGAAATGCTGGGAATCGAAGCCGGGTCGGCCGTCTGCCAGGCAAACGCCCTCCCCACTGTGCTGTCACTCCAGCCCCGGGTCCCCACCTTCAACTCCCTCATCATCTGGGATTCAGCCTCAGTTCAAGGAGGGTGTAGCAGGGAGGGCGTTTGCCTTGCATGTGGCAACACGGCTTTGATCCCAGCGTCCCACATGGTTTCCCAGCACCGCTAGGAGTAATCCCTGAGTGCCCAGCCAGAAATAAGCCAGAGCACCACCCAGGGGGGCCCGGAACAGTAACAACAAAAATCCCATAGAAAGGGGAGTTTGAGCCCAAAATTTTTGGATCATTCGTTCAACCCTGCGATTCCTCGTTCATTTAAGCATTCATCAGCTCAATCTTTCTTGCCCTTCTTTTTTCTTTTCCTCATACATTCAAGCATCTGTGTCTAACCATGAATTTCTTCATCTATGCTCGTCCACTCAAACATCTGTTCTTTCATTCATTTCAACCTACCACTCATTTCAACCATTCATTCATCCAATATCCATGCCTTCATTCGTGTTCTCATTCGCTTCTGCTCTCATTCATTCATATTTTCATTCCTTCAACTCTTCTTTCATTCCATCTTTCATTCATACCCACTCTCCTTCATTCATGTGTATTAATTCATCCCTAGCTCATTCATTGGACCATTCATCCACGCCCTCACTCACTCATTGGGCCATTCTTCCATCCCCTCGCTCACTCATTGGCCCAACATCCACGCCCTCGCTCACTCATTGGACAAGTCTTCCATGCCCTCGCTCACTCATTGAACCATTCATCCACACCCTGCTTACTCATTGGGCTATTCATCTATGTTCCCACTCGTTGAATCATTCATTCATGCCCTAGCTCACTCATTGGACCAACAACCATGCCCTCACTCATTGGACAAGTCTTCCATGCCCTCGCTCACTCACTGGACCATTCATCACACCCTCACTCACTCACTGGACGACTCATCCATGTCTTGGCATACTATTTGCTCAGCGAAATAATGGATTGCTCTCTCTTGGGATCAGCACGTGAATCAATGGGACCTCCTGGTTGAAAGTCGGGGAGCAGGGAGACACGAGGGCCCCTTCCCCACCTTCTACTGACTCACCGCATTCCCTTTGGCTCCATCCTCTCCAGGGGGGCCTTTCTTTCCCGGGGGACCAGCAGCGCCAGACGGGCCTGAGTCTCCTTTCTCACCAAAGTCTCCGCGTGGCCCCTTTGCAGAAACAGACGTGCGGTGAGCAGCGTCCACAACCCAAAGTCAGACCAAGTAAGGGAGCAGGGCAGATGCCAAGCCAGTTGGTTCTGGTCAAGGGTATTCTGAACCTCTTCCCACTGGCAACACCCCCTCACCCGCTTTTTGTTTTTCTGCCACACCCAGCAATGCTCAGAGGTTACTTCTGGCTTTGCACTGAGGAATTACTCCTCAAGGGACCCAACGGGATGTCGGGAATGGAACCTGGGTCGACCTCGTGTAAGGCCAGCACCTTACCCACTGTACTCTCTCTCCAGCCCCTGGCAACCCTTTATCACCCAAGAAATGTTTCTGTGATCCTAGGCATAGAGGTATGCAAAGCAAACATTTAATAGTAACAAATCGTGAGTCTGTGCTAACACAGTTGTTTCTTAAGCTCTGTGAGCCCATACGGGGTCCTGGCGCAGCGTTTAAGAGCTATTCTGGGGGCTCGAAAGAGAGCACTTGACTTTCACGGTGGTGACAATGGTCCATCTGGCACCAGATGGGCCCCTGAGCACAGAGCGGGGAGAACCCGAGCACCACCAGTGTGGTCCCAACCACTCCTTCAACGAAGAATAGACTGTCGCCCCTGGCCCACCCTAGAGTGAGTGAGGAAAGGGTCCCGGTGGGCAGCTCATCCCCAAGTCTGACTCCAGGTTTGGGGTGTGCAGGGAACAGCCTGGATGGAGGCGGTCCTTCAGAGGATGCCCAGGGGCAGAGGCACAGGCTTGGGGTGTGCAATTCCCAGCAATTCCCATGTTCGATTCCCAGCAGGGACACAGAGAAGCCTTGGCCCCCACACTGCTGGGCCCAAACGCTTAGCAACTCCCCAACACCAAAGAAGATATAAAGGAACTTCCAGGGTCTGTCATTAGGATGAGACACATCCCTGGGTCATCGGCTGGCCAGAGCCATCCAGGGGTGGGGGTTCCCTGAGGCTAATGTGGGTGTCAGATCACATGCTCACTCACAGGGCTTCCAGGGGCTCCTGGGGGTCCGGGGTCTCCAGTCTGTCCCGGCTCACCCTGCAGGAGGCAAAGTGAGGACCAGGAGGGCGCCCCAGGACAGGCAGCTCCAATGAGGATGGGCTTCCAGCACGCCCCACCCATCTCACAGAAGTCTGCTCTGCAAAGCCCCGCCCGACAGGAGTCCTGCCCACCCACAGAACCCACCCCACCCATAGAAACCACGCCCCGCCCCGCAAGTTCCAGCCCCTGCCCGGCCCACACTCACCTTCTCGCCCACTGCTCCGGGCTGACCAACTCCTCCCTTCAGTCCTGGGGGCCCCTGGAGAGACGGGGTGGGGGTATAGATAAGCCCCCACTGAAATGACTTCCCCACCTCCGAAGCAGCCTGGCCCTCCTCCCAATCCTCACCTCTGCTCCGCTGGGGCCATGGGGGCCCCGAGGTCCTGGAGCTCCATGGGGTCCCTGTGGGAAGTGACACAGAACGGACATTCAGTGACCAGGGGCCCAACCCCAAAGGCCACCCTGAATACTGGGGTGGTGAGAACAATAAAGTGGGACCGGAGAGACAGGGCAGGGGTGAAGGCGGCGCCCGGCATACAGCCTGCGCTGGCGTCACTGTGCCCAGGGAGGGGAGAACAGGACGAGCTACAGAGCGGACCATTAGAGCAGGAGGCCTGGGGGTCGACCCCAGCACTGCAGGGCCCTGCCCCCAAGCACGGCCAGGCGTGACTCCCAACTAAAGGCCCAAAGTGTCTTGAGGGGTCCCCAGAAACCAATCACCACCCATATGTCCGTCCTTTCTGGCCCCCTCGTCCGTACCATGGACCCCACGTCTCCGACCTCGCCCTTGTCTCCAGGAGGGCCTGGCAGTCCCTGAAAAAGGAAGAAACAAGATTGGGGGCCGGGGTGGGGGAGGGGAACCACGGGCCACTCACTCGCACCCTGACACGCACCTGCAGGCCGGGGGGACCGATCACCCCCACAAAGCCCCTCACTCCGTCATCGCCTTTCTGCCCAAAGAGGCCTGGGGGTCCCCGGCGTCCCTGTGCCCCATCGGCTCCCTGCCAGGAAGATGGGGAGGGACCAGGGGAGGTTAAGGGTCAAGGTCAGGGCAGAAGTCGAGAGCTGGAGAAGGAGCAGTGACCGTGGGGGAGGGGCAGGTGAATGTGGGGAACCAGGATACAGCTGAAGGGGGCGGGAACTGGGCCAAAGGTAGAGTCTGGGTGGGGGGGACGGGACGAGTTGGGGTCAAGGTCAGCAGCAGATTCACTTCTGGGCCTGAGGGTTTAGCGTCTGCCTTGGAGGGTGGCCTAGGCTTGGGGTTCAGGGTATGGCTGGGTCAGGTGAGGCTGGAGTTGGGATCCAGACCACAGAGTGGAGATGGGGGTGGGGTGATCAAGATCACGCAGGGTGGGGGACCCCCGTTCCCTGCTGTCAGGGACGCAGCAAGCCGGGAGCACTTACCGCGGGGCCTGGGTGTCCAACCGGCCCCTGTATCCCTGTTGGTCCGGGCGGACCCTGGGAGGGAGAACGGGGAGGAGTCAAGCTCTGGGGGCGGGGCTAGCAATGTCACTCTCGCCCCTTACCCCGCCTCCCGCCGGAAGAGAGCGATGGGCCCCTCCCCCACAAGCAACCATGTTGGGGGGGGGCGGGGGCACTCCTGAATGAGGCCCACGGGCACATGCAAGCCCTGGAGCTCAGCGCTGCACAATCAGGGACAGAGGGGACGTGAGCAACCCATGGGTGCAGGGCTGGGCCCCGGGGTCCTGCCTGCAGATACCAGGATGGGGTTGGGAAGGCAGGGGCGCTCCCGCTCCCAGGGGCCCCCACTCACCGCGTCGCCCTTGTCGCCTCTGCTCCCCTTGTGGCCAGGTGTGCCCATCTCTCCCTGCACAGAATGGGCATGAGGAGGGACCCGCTCCCCCTGCCCCCGGGGCTCCCCCAAGCTCCTCTCACCTTGTCCCCTTCCTCGCCAGAAGGGCCGGCGGCTCCTGGGGGCCCGGGAAGCCCCAGGGGTCCAGGGGTCCCATCTTTGCCGATGGGCCCAGGAGGGCCACGTTCACCCTGGTAGAGGGAGGGGAGGGGGGTCAAGAACCCAGGGCGGAAGTGGGGTGCTGGCCTGCAGCAGCCTGAGGGCGACACTTACCGGTGCCCCCTTCTCGCCTGCGGGGCCAACAGGACCTGGGCCTCCGCTCTGGCCAGGGAGTCCGATACTCCCGGTGGGACCCAGAGGTCCCCGCTCCCCTGGGGAGCCCTGCAGGGAGGGAGAGGATGTGGGGAGTCTCCCTGTGAAGGACACCTGAGTTGGAGGGTCCCTCACACAGCAGGAAGAGACTGCCTCGATTTCTCCTTTTTCCTTTGTTTTGGGGACCACACCCACTGATGCTCAGGGTTGACTCCTGGTGGTGCTCGGGGGACCGGACGGGAGGCCGAGGATTGAACCCGGGTCAGGTCAGCCGGGTGCAAAGCAAGCGCCTTCCCTGCTGTCCCATCGTTCCAACCCTCTGCCTAGAGCCCAGTGCGGCTTCCAGCTCAGTCACAGTGGCCGCCTGCCTCCCTCCGGCCAGCACCCAGCCCCAGGCATCTTCGGGGCCTTAGCACACGCTGTTCCCTCTGCCAGGAACGCCCTTTCCCCACTGGCCTTCTTCAATGGCAGGTCCCCAAATCATCCCTTCTGTGACTTTTTTTTTTTTGCTTTTTGGGTCACACCCGGCGATGCACAGGGGTTACTGGGTTACTACTGGCTCTGCACTCAGGAATTACCCCTGGCGGTGCTCAGGGGGACCATATGGGATGCTGGGAATTGAACCCCAGGTCGGTCGCATGTGAGGCAAATGCCCCACCTGCTGTGCTATTGCTCCAGCCCTCCTTCTGTGGCTATTTTCATCTCAGTGCCAGGGTCAAATCTGGAGGTGCTCAGGGCTGACTCCTGGTTCTGTGCTCTGGGATCACTCCTGGCGGAGATGGGGGCAGGCACTGTAAGGGGTACCTGGCATGGAGCCTGGGTAGGCCGTGTGCTCAGCCAGCACCTTCCTCACTGTCCCCTGACACATCCCAGCCCCCCACGAGTCTGGGAAGGGAGTGGCTGTCCTAGCGCATGGCCACCAGTGAAGAGACAGGTTTCTGGAGACACCCAGGCCTGCTGGGGACCCTGGGGGACTTCATGGCAACAGTCCGCTTCCTCCTGCACCCCATCTGCATGGCCGGATGTTGCACTTACGTTGGCCCCGATGGGACCCGGGGGGCCGCTGTCACCCTTCAAACCGGCAGGTCCCTAGGAGAGGAAATGATTCTCATGGGGCTGGCTCGGGGGGCTCTCCAGGGGGCTCACCAACCGCCACTGCTCTAAGTTCACAGTGGCCCCCACCCCCGCCAAGATGCCACCCATGCGCTCCCATTCCTTCTCCACTTTACCAACATGCACAGGGGGTGGGGGGGCGACAGATACATACAGGGTCTCCAGCGGCTCCTGGGGGGCCAGGCAAGCCCCTGAGTCCAGGTGGCCCTTCCTTCCCCAGCGGTCCTGGTGGTCCCAGGTCCCCCTGTAGCACGTGGGAGGCAGGTCAGACTCCACCCAGGGAGAGGTCCCCCCCACAGTCTGTGCCGGGGGACCCCAGAGCCCATCTCACCTTGGCGCCCTCGTCGCCTTCGGGGCCCGGAAGACCATGTTCACCAGGAGGTCCGGGGGGGCCTGGAGCACCCCTGTCGCCCAGGGGTCCCGCATCCCCCACCTTTCCCTGGAGGAAAAGAAGGGCTCAATTCCCACAGGGCTAGGGGTGTCTGAGAGCCCTGTTCCCCCAAAATATCCCCAAACAGGTGCCAAAGTGAGGGGCTTCTCAGGGGGTGCAGTCTGACCTGAGGGCCCAAAACTCCAGCTGGTCCCGGTGGGCCTGTCTGGCCTTGGAAACCCTGAGGGGAAGGAAACGGGGTGTCATAGGAAAGGAAGGGCAGAAATGGAATGTGGGGATTCAGGGCTCAGCCTGGAGTCTGGTCCCGAGTTCAAACCCTGGGGATACCACATGTGCCCATCCCAGCAACTCTGCCGTCTGGCACCCCCAGCCAGGCAGGTGTGACACAGCACCACGGCCAGAAGGATGTGCTGGGGAAGCCCTGCAGTGGCCTGGACCCCCAGAACATGCATGAGAACCCCCAACCCCAGACAGTGAGTGCACCGCCCATCACGGTAGCAGGAACAGCGGAGGGGAGGGAATAAACGAGCGATGGGCCGGGTAGGTTGGAAGCCAGTCGGCGCTGCGGAGAGGCCTGGGGGCCGAGCGCGGGGATCCCCACCCCACAGGGCCCCCCGGGACAGCGACTCACCAGCTCTCCTCTCTGGCCTGGGTGCCCGGGACGCCCATCCTTGCCTTGGGGGCCCTGGGGACAAAGTGGGAGCGAGGTGAGGCAGCATGAAGGGGCGCCCCTCTCTGCACCCCAACCTGGGCGAGGTCACTCACAGGGGGGCCCTTGAGCCCAGGGAATCCGGGGGGACCTTGCACTCCAGGGGGGCCCTGAAACAGAAGCAGAGGAATCCTGAATGCGGGCTTCACCAGGACAGAGACCAGCACTGTGTGTGTGTGTGTGTATGCACGCATGAGTGTATATGTATGCGAGCACTGGTGTGTGTGTGAGCATGTGTGAATGTAGAATGTACGTGTATGTGAGCATGTATGTGTGTGGAGTGTGTGTGTGCGTGACTGCGTATGTGAATGTGTGAGTGCATGTGTGAACGTGTGTGACTGTATGTGTTAGTGTTTTGATGAGTTTATAAGTATGTGAGTGCATATGTGTGTGTATATGCGAATGTGACCGTGTATGTGTGTTTGGATGTGTGTGTATTGTGTGTCTATGTTAATCTGTGATTGTGTGTGAATGTGTGAATGCATATTGTGCGTATATGTTAATCTGTGTGTGAATGCTATTTTGTATGTGTGTTTGGATGTGTGTGTACTGTGTATATGTGTGTGTGTTGTGTGTTTGTGACAGGCACAGAACATTCTTGCTGGGGCCAACACCGGCCCAGCCCTGCGTGTGGGGACAGAGGTGATGCCACTGAGCTGCCTCCAACATCGGACTGTCCTCACACGCAGCCCCCGGGGGTCCCCGCCCTGCCCCGCAAGCACACACCCCACTCTCACCTTCTCTCCTGGGGCTCCTGGGGCCCCGTCCTGGCCCACGGCACCCTGGAATGAAGGAATAAACAGACTTGGTCCCCACTGGGATGGGTGGGAGGAATGGGGGGCCCGATCCCCCACCCCTTACCTTGGGGCCTGGCTGCCCTGTGGCCCCCAGCTGCCCCCTCTCTCCACGGGCGCCCTGAATCCGAAGGAAATCAAGATTAGGAGTGAGGGGAGGTGGGGGACCCAGGAGGACCCCACCCGCCTTCCTGCCCACTCAGGACCCTCCCACAGCCCCTCCCTCCATCCCACCAGTGCCCCGTGGAGACTGAGCAGGTGGGATGAAGACCCCGATCCTCTTACTGGTAAACCCCGCTCTCCTTCCAGGCCTGGCTGTCCGGCCTTGCCCTGCAGGGAAGATGGGGGGTGAAGGGGAAGACAGTGGAGCAACGGGACTAGGCACAGACCCCACCTGCATGTTCCCTAGTCTTTGCACACGCACACAAACTCACACATTCATACTCACAATGACACATAATACTCACACAGATACTTTCATACTCATAGTCAAACGTAATACTCACACACACACACACACACACACACACACACACACACACACAAGCTCCAAACTTACCCGCTTTCCTTTCTCTCCTAATGGTCCCAAGGGTCCAGGAAATCCAATCGACCCCTGAGGGTAGACAGAAAAGGAGCAGATGGGCCTGGGGCGGTAGGGACAGTCACCCCCATCCTCCATCCAGGCAACAAATTCCAAAAGCTTCTTGTGGTCCTTCTAACCCCTTCCTACATGGTCAGAGTCCAGGCGTTTAGAAATGGGGCGCAGGTGCTGAAGTGCTCCCAAGTCTGTGGCACACCTGGCCACGAGTCCCATGCAGGCCCTTGAGTTTCCTCCCCAAGTGGGAGCCCATGGGTGTTGTTTCAGCAAGTTCACGCAAGTATGTGTATGCAAGTGTGAACACACACACACACACACACACACACACACAAACACACGGGCTGGAACAGCTAATCACCCAGGAGACCCCAATCTCACCCACGGCTGAGAATATCATCACTTTTATTTCTATTTTATGCTTTGGACCACACCCAGCAGTGTTCACAGGGCTGACTCCTAACTCTGTGCTCAGAGGTCACTCCTAGTGGAGTTCAAGGGATCTTATGGGGTGCCGGGGATCGAACCCAGTCAGCCACGTGCAAGGCCAGCACCCTCTCTGCTGCTCCTTTTTATAAAAACATTTTAAACCACCACTGTCCTGTGGGTGCGGCCTGGCCCAGAGGACAGGCCAACTGGAGCTCTGCATGACTGGCGTCAGGGTCGAGGTGACATAGCCAACACATGCAGAAGAACATTCTGTCCGAGTATTCCTGAGTGGCCGTTACGACTCGGTCTGGCACATACGTATTGATGATTCGTTTCTCAATGTGGCACAGACCTCAGCCACCCCAGATAAGAAGGGGCCTGAGTCCTGGGGGACCCCCAGAGCATCCCCCTCATGGTTGAGTGCACAGGTCCTGGGCCTGTCACTGGTCTGGTCTTGAGAGCTTTGCACTGAGCACTGGAGCGAGAACACCGTGCAGATGGCACGGGTCTGGCATGCAGTGGGCCTGCCCGGCTTCGATCCCTGGTCCCTGAGCCCTGCCACGATCCCTGAGTGCAGAGCCAGGAGTCAGCCCTGACCACCACTACGTGCGGGTAGAAAGAGAGGTGGGCCTTGGCACCCTATCCTTCTAGTTCCCATACTACATCTTGGGGCCCAGGAGAGAGCTCAAAGGGCCGGGGCTTTGCCTGACATGTGCAACTGAGCCCCGGGTGCTGGAGACACCGCTTCCTACAGAGCCACGGATACCATCACCTTCCCCACAAGCTGGGCCGTGGGGCTGGAGCGATAGCACAGTGGGTAGAGCATTTGCCTTGCACAAGGTTGACCCGGGTTTGATTCCCAGCATCCCATATGGTCCCCTGAGCACCGCCAGGAGTAAGTCCTGAATGCAGAGCAAGGAGGAACCACTGAGTATCGCCAGATGCGACCCAAAAAGAAAAAAAAAAAAAAAAAAAAACAAGCCACATCATAACACAGCCCCCTCCCCCCGAGCCTGGACCCCTGACGTTAGTTAAGTCTCTAAGCCCAGTTCACCCCAGGCTACAGCTCCTCACCTTAGGGCCGGGCCGTCCAGGGTAACCGGGGAGGCCAGGGAGCCCCAGCTTGCCCTGCAGACAGAGAGCGGGGAAAAGGTCAGAAATCGGCAAGGTTGGAGGTGGAAGGTCGGGAGCAGCACCCGGGGATCAGGGAAGCTGGGGGGCGGGTCCCAGAGCACCCATCTCTGCGGGGGCTGTCTGGGTGGGGGGAAGCTCGCCCACAGTTCCAGAAGCCAGCGTCCCGCGCTGTCAGGCCACCCACTTTGCACCTGAGGGCCCACAAAGGCGTGCTGGGGTGTCGAGCCATGGCACGGAGGGTGCCCACCTCGCTCGTGGCCCACCCGCGCCTGTCCCCAGCATCCCGTCGGCCCACATTGTCACCAGGAGCAGGGCCTGCACCTGTGGGGGGCCTGGGGAACCCCAGAACTACAGCCTCAGGGCCTGGCATGGAGCCTCTGTGGGCTGAGACTTGCTGTGGCTGGGTTGGCCGCGCTGGGATCCTGGGGGGCCCCCCGAGCAGTTCAGGAGGCAAAAGGCCTGAACAAGGGAAGACCGGCTTTGCTCCGTTGCTCCAGCACTGAGCTGAGGGCAGGGAGTGGACGAGAGGGGGGACGGGTGGGGGGCATGAGTGGACAGGCAAGTGGCTAACAGAGTGGGCAGGTGAGTGACAGGAGCGTGGGCAGAGGGCGGGCAGGTGAGTGGACAGATGAAGGGATAGGAGAGTGGGCGGGTGAGTGGCCGGGTGGGTGGGGGTGAGTGGATATGTAGGTGGGCGGGTGAGTGGACCGGAAGTGGGCGGGGAGGGAGGAGAGCGGGCGGGGAGCACCTCCCCCTAGTGGGGAAGCTGCGGGTGGCCCAGAAGGGGGGCCGGGGCCTCACCTTCTCCCCAGCAGAGCCCGGGGGCCCCTCCTCGCCAGCCAGCCCCTCCTGCCCCTTCAACCCCTCAGGCCCATCCTCTCCTCGCAGGCCTGGGGGGCCGGGGGACCCCTGCAAGAGAAACCAGAGTCTATTTCCAGGCGACACCTGCTCCCCCCTTCCCCGTCCTGCCCATCCCCTGGGCTCTCCCTCCCCACCTTCCTCACACCCGCACCCCACCACACGGAGGTCACCTTACCGCATCACCTTTGAGCCCCCCATCACCCTTGAAGCCAGGGAAGCCATCCTCTCCCTGGGGTGGGGGGTAAGCCCAGAGGTCAGAGGTCAGGGTTTGGGAGAGGGACACAGCAGAGTTCCATTATTGGGGCTCCCCTCCATACACCCCAATTCCCTTTCTCACCTTCACTCCTTTCTCTCCCTGGAGGCCACGATTACCAGAGGTACCCTGAAAAAAAAATTTATTCCAATCCACTGAGGAAGAACCCCTGGGGTCCAGAGCGGTAAGACAGTGGGGAGGGCGTTTGACTTGCAAGTAGCTGACCTTGGTTCAATCTCCCCAGAGGGTCCCACAAGCCCTGCCAGGAGTAATTCCTGAGTGCAGAGCCAGGAGTTACCCCTGAGACTGCCGGGTGTGACCCCCAAACAAAACAACAACAATAACAAAGAGAGTAACTTTCCACCAAAGCCCACGGCTGGGAAGGTGTGTGCAAACAATGGCCTCGCTCCATCTTTATTTTTTGTTTTGTTTGGGGGCCACACCTGGTGGTATTCAGAGCTCTGTGCTCAGGGACCACTCCCGGCGGGCTCCAGGGACCATGTGGGATGCCAGGGGTCAAATGTGGGGCGGCTGTGTGCGAGGCAAGCACTCTGCCGCCCCCCCCTCCCGTCCTATCTTTCTACCCCCCCCCCCCTTTTTTGGCCAAACGCAGCCGTTCCTAGGGCTGACTCCTGGCTCTGCACTCGGGCTCATTCCTGGCAGGGGTCTCAGCATGACGCTGCGGACTGAAGCATATCACATGCCTGTACAATGTCTCTGCACCCCGTGTGCACACACCACCCCTTTCCACAGAAGCCTGGAAGGGACGTGAGGAGAAGGCCCAATTTCCAAGGAATTCCCACCAGAGGGGCCCGACCGAAGACACCGTGTCTGCCTCTCCTTTGGCAGGAGGAGGAAGATGAATATTCCAGGCCCCGGCCAGTCTGCAGTGAAGGAATGTTCCCCTTTGTCCGGGCCACAGTGGGATTCTGCGGCTGGCAATGAGGAGAGTCTGTGCTGGGCTCCAGCCCTGAGCAAGCACAGCTGCCGCGTGCCGCTCGCTCCTTCCGAGCTGGGGTGCTCGGCTGTGAGGAGCCACGGGCTTGTGAGTGGTCAGCGCTGGGGGACCAGGACAACAAAGCACACCAGCACCAGCCTTTTTTTTTGGGGGGGGGGTCACACCCGACGATGGACAGGGGCTACTCCTGGCTCTGCACTCAGGAATTACTCCTGGCGGTGCTCGGGGGACCATATGAGATGCTGGGAATCGAACCAGGGTCAGCCTGTGCAAGGCAACCACCCTACCCGCTGTACTATTGCTCCAGTCCCCAGTAGCAGCTTTAAAGCAATCCCACCCCCAGCTAAACGCAGGAAATGGACAAAGACAATGCCAACTGAAACTGACATGAAATCAACAAAGATCATGGAAGGCCACTAGGAAGGAGGAAGGGACAAGAAATTCACAATGACAGGCTCCAGGGAGAGCACAGCCGGGAGGGATTTGCCTTGGAAGCCAACCCGGGTTCCATTTCCAGCTTCCCATATGGTCCCCTGAGCACCACCAGGAGGAATTCCTGAGTTCATGAGCCAGGAGTAACCCCTGAGCAACGCCGGGTGTGACTCAAAAAGCAAAAACAAAAAAACAAACAAACAAACAAAAACACTCAGGGTTTGACCCTGGCAGGGATCAGGGAACTCTATAGGGTTCTGGAGATCAAGCCCAGGTTGACTGTAAGGCAAATGCCCTCCCAGCTGGACTATCTCTCCAGTCCTAGTTGTTTACAACAAAAAAATTTAAAAATATGTATTGTGTGGGGCTGGAGTGATAGCACAGCGGGTAGGGCGTTTGCCTTGCACGTGGCCGACCCGGGTTCTATTCCCAGCATCCCATATGGTCTCCAGAGGACCACCAGGAATAATTCCTGAGTGCAGAGCCAGGAGTAACCCCTGAGCATCGCTGGTTGTGACCCAAAAAAGAAAAAAAAAAGTATTGCGTTAAAATCTATGTTGTGGCAAAGTTTAATTACATCATAAGACAAAATCAAATACCAGTTGTAGCCATGCTTGGTTATATTGTGGTAAAGTTTAAATACATTGTGCAAATAGAATACCAATTTTAGCCAAGCCTGGTTACACCACCAGGATTTGGAAGGGGGGGTGGGAAGTCCACAGCCCATGTCAGTTTCAAAGATAGTGCTGTCCTTCTTAAGGACTTGGTCAAGTTGGTTGTCCTTATCAGGGTCAATTTCATTTTCCTGGTCAACTTCTCTCTGTCAATTTCTCAATTTGTCAGCAGGAAGGGTAATAGCCCCGCCGCGCTATCTCTCTGACCTCTCATGCCAGGAGTGATTCCTGAGAAATGATCCCTGAGTTTGGAGCCTGGAGTAAACCCTGAGCACCACAATGGGTTTGCCCCAAAGTAATAATAAAAGCAAAACACTACAAGAACAGTAATAATAAATATAGTAATAAATAATTAAACAGCAATTATGCCTGCAACTGCCTCACCTGAGTGAGCCAACATCATCGAGTGCCCAGACAGCTCCTGCCCCACAGAGGTGGCTTGTTTCTGGGGTTCCTACTTGGGCATCTATAACACAACTCACTACTAGTCCCCACAAGCTGCCTGGGCTGGTATGGAGACAGTGGGGTCACTGAAGAGTGGGTTCAGCTGAACTGTCCTCCACTACCAAGGCACTAAGTCCTTAGGTCACCCGTGGGGATCAAACCCATGTGCCCTCCCAAGAGACTGACCCCTCGCCCAGGGCCCCGGGGGGACCTACCTTCACACCTCGGGGTCCCGGGTAGCCGAGCGGGCCAGCCGACCCTGCTGGGCCCTGCATAAAGAGGACATCAGTGGGGTCGAGGCCCACCCTCGCCAAGGCCATGGCCTCTGCCCTGCTGCTGACCCCTCAGCCTCTCACCTGCACTCCTTTCTCGCCTGTGGGGCCCTCACGACCGGGGTGGCCCTGGGGAGGAAATAAAAACAGGGCGACTCCAGGGCCTGCGTGGAGCTCCACGTCCCCACCCTGGAACCACGTGGTTCCTTGAGCATTCTTGGGGCTGCCCGAGCCCCGGAGTACCACCCCAGTGTGACCCCCCCAACCAGAGCTCCCCTTTCTGCCCCTGCCGCCTCTCACCGGAGGGCCATCAGATCCGGGTGCGCCTGGAATTCCCGGGTTTCCAGGGGGCCCCTGAGAAAAGAAACGATGAGAGGTAAGGGGAAGACAGGGACAGCCAGGCACAACTCTGCCCAGACACGCCCTGTAGCCTGAGTCCACCCATCGCCCCTGTCACCCCTGCTGAGCTCTGAGGGTCTCCATCACTGGGCAGGAGCCACAGGAAGGGGGAAGGCGCTTGTCTGTCTCTCAACCGAGTTCGAGCCCCGACCCCCCATAGGACCCCCAGGAGTGATCCCTGAGTGAGTGCCAGCAGTGAGCCCAAAGTCCCCCAACCCCCCAAAAGGAAAAAAGACAAAAGCTTTCACCCCTGCTCGATCTCTCCCGGATGACACTTTCTGGTTCGTGAGGGTCCCCCTGGCTCCTGACCTTCCCCTGAGGGGATTCCTTTCAAGATTTCTCAAATTTTTTAGTTTGGGAGCCACACCCGGCGATGCCCAGGGTTGATCCTGTCTCTGCACTCAGGAATCCCTCCCAGCAAGGCTCGGGGGACCCCATGGGATGCTGGGGGTTGAACCTTGGTCGGCCGCAGGCAAGGCCGGCGCCCTCCCCGCTGCGCCACCACTCCAGGCCCCTTTTGCCTCCCAATTATGGGTCGGGCAGGTTTCCAGCCCATTCAGGGGCGTGGTTCTAGCGCTGGGAGGTTCTGAGGGGATGGGCAGCGCCTCACCACCCAAGTTAATAAGGGGCAGTGGGAGGACTGCGGTTCGAGAGCAACACTCACCTTGTCTCCGGGAGCACCGATGGGGCCCTGGGGGCCTTGCAGTCCCTGGAGGCAGAAGAGAGGGTGCAGGCAGGCATGAGAAGGCGGGTGAGCAAAGCAGGGTTGGGAGGTCCCAGGGGACACCCCTCCACTCAGACCTGGGATCCGGGCTTCCCCTGCTGGCCAGGAGGACCCGGTTCTCCGGGAGGACCCTGGGGGGGGGGGGAGAGAGAGAGAGAGAGAAAGAGAGAGAGAGAGATGAGACCTTAACTTCAGACTCATGACCTTGAGGCTCAGGGGAGGCTCAAAGGGACCCCACCCTGGGGTGGGGATGAGGATGTGGAGATCTGCGAGGGAGCCCTGGGGGGCCCACAGGGGCGCCCCCATCCCGGCAGCGGGGTGAGGTGCGGGGCCGAGAGGCGGCACCTACCACGTTTCCTTTGGCCCCCGGAGCACCGTCGGCGCCACTGATGCCCTGGGGAGGGGAGCAGCAGGCATGAGTGGGGGCCCCAGACAGGGAGGGGGCATGGGAGGGGCTACAGGAAGCAGAGGAGGAGAGGGGGCACAGGAGGGGGGCAGAGGAACGGAGTGGGGGGGGCAGGAGAAGGGGTGTGGGGACTCATTCTCACCCGACGTCCTGGGGGGCCAGGGGAGCCTCTGGGACCCATCAGTCCCCGGAGTCCCTGCAAGGGAGGGGGGTCAGCCCAGCTGCCCTCACACCCCGTCTGACTGTAACACCCCCACCTGCACTGGGGAGGGGCCCCCGAATGTGACCTCACCGGTTCTCCAGCCTGGCCAATGGGCCCTGGGGGTCCTTCTGCTCCCTGCAGGAAAGGCACGTCACCCAGGGAGGGGGCACAGAGGACCCCCCAGGAGCATCTTCCCTCATGGGGGCTCAGAGCATCACCCCAAACCAGCCCTGCTCTGACTCCCCCAGGAGAGACCCTGACCCCTCACCCTGGTCTCTGCACCCCCAAACTCACACTGGCCTCCCCGTCTCCCAGCCAGCCCCCTACTTTGTCCCAGACTTACCTTCCTGCCGTCTTCTCCTGGTGGCCCCGGCAGCCCCACCCGGCCAAAGTCACCCTGGGGGGATGCAGGGGAGATTGAAGAGGTGAAAAAATGGGGGAAGAGGAGGCCCCAAAGGGAGGAGGGGGTGAAGACACGGGTCATGAGGCATCATGGGTATGGGGGTGGACAATGACATTGGGGGTCGCATGTCATGGATATATGCTCTGATATTGGGGGGTCAGGTGTCATGGTATAGGGGTGGATGCTCTGATACTGGGGTTCAGGGTACGGGGTGCCACGGGGAGGGGTCTCACTCACCCGCTGGCCCTGCTCCCCAGGCAGCCCGGGGAGGCCGTCAAAGCCCCGGTCTCCCTGCAGAATGACACCCCCTTAGCTCCTGAGCCCAGCCCTCCTCAGCCTCCCGGGGGCCCCACACTGGCCGCCACCTACCTTGGGTCCTGTGTCGCCCGGGAGGCCCCGCGCCCCATCCGCTCCTGCACGGCCCTAGGCGGGAGGGGGGGGGACAATGCCAGCAGAAAAGCTGTTAATGTTTGGGGGTCCCCGCACCCCAGGGATGGGGACAGGCCTGTCAGGGGTCCTGATCCCAGGGGATGCCAACAGAGCCGGGGGCCGTGGAGCTGAGTCACACGTGGGGAGTCGGGGGACAGAAAGGGACATGGGGGAGCAGAAGTCACTCACCATTTTGCCTTCCCGGCCAGGGGGCCCAACAGGTCCCTGAAGGCCTCGGGGACCCTGTGGGAGGAGGGGAAGGAGGAAGGAGAAGAAGGGCGGCCGAGATGAGGAGGAGGAGAAAGTTGGGAGGCGGAGAGGAGAAGGCAAGGAGGAGCGGGTAGGGGGAGGCGGAAAACTTTCCATCATCACTTAGGACAAGAGGTGAGGGAACCCCCAGCCCCCAGCCCCCCTCGAGGCCCTCATGGCCCCTCACCTGTGGGCCCGTCTCTCCCATCTCTCCTTTCAGACCGGGATACCCAGGAAGGCCCTGGGTGGAGGGGTGGAACAATCAGATGTGGGGGGCTGGGCTGGAGAAGGCTCCTCTTCTCCCGGCGTACCCCCATCCCTCACTGGCATACCCCCAGCACTCACTGTGGGGCCCGGGCGTCCAGTGAGTCCCACGGGGCCAGGGGGGCCCTTCATAGAGAGCTGGAAAGACAGACGGGCAAAGCCTCAGGCCCCAATGCCCCCCCCCCCCCCCCCCCCCCCCGCCTCACGACCCCGCCTCTGCTCAGGGCTGACTCCTGGCTCTGGCTCAGACAGATCACTCCTGGCAGTGCTTGGGGACCCTATGGGGTGCCGGGGATGGAACCCGGGTCCGCCACAAACCCAATTCTGCGCCCTCCCTGCTGTCCTGCCGCGCGGGAGCCCACACAGGGTAGTGCTCAGGAGCGCCCCCTGGTGGCAGCTAGGGGAGCCACATGGTGCTGGGGATGAAACTCGGATCCAGGGGCCAGGCCCCGGCCAGACCCTCCCTGACTGTCCTGTCTCGGGTCCTCACCAAGGCTTTCTGATTTTTTAATTTTGGGGGCATTTGCCTTGCATGCGGCTGGCACTGCCGACCTGAGTTCGATTCCTCCGCCCCTCTCGGAGAGCCCGGCAAGCTACCCGAGACGTATTCGATATGCCAAACACAGTAACAAGTCTCGCAATGTTACTGGGTCCGCTCGAGCAAATCGATGAACAATAGGAGGACAGTGACAGTGATTATTTATTTATTTATTTTTGCTTTTTGGATCACACCTGGCAATGCAGAGGGGTTACTCCTGGCTCTGCACTCAGGAATTACTCCCGGCGGTACTCATGGGACCATCTGGGATACTGGGAATCGAACCCGGGTCTGCCACGTGCAAGGCAAACGCCCTCCCCGCTGTTTGGGGGAAGGCAAAATGGTGAGTGACTTCTGCTCTCCCAGCCCCCGAATTTTTCATTTTATTTTTATAAAGTTGTTCACACTATTTGATGGCTCTCACCAAGGCTTCCTAGGGCATGGCTGAGATTTGACGCCTCTCCAGGCTTTGGTGCCCCCGCTGCCCTTCCCCTAGTCCCCTCCCTGCCCGCGACCCACCTGAGCCTGCTGCAGGACGGCCTGGGCCTGGGCCTGCTGGAAGGACACGGGGGCGCCTCCGGGGGAGCTGCTTGCAAACTGGAACTGGGGGGCAGCGGGGGGTGAGCGGAGTCCGCTGTGGTCGGCCCCTCATGGGTCCAGGGTCCACCCTTCCGGGAAGGCCCGACCTCGCTCCCTCTCACCGGCATCATGATCACGGTGCCCGGGAGGCCGCGGATGCCGTCCATGCCCGGCATTCCTGGAAGGCCGGCGGGGCCCTGCAAGGTGGAGGCGAGGAGGGCGGGGGCGGGGGGGGTAGAGAAGGGGAGGGGTAAGAAAGGCAGTACCGGAGGTGAGAAGGATGAAGGAAGGGAGAGAGAGCGCGCCAAACAGTGGGCGGAAGGGCACAGGGCCAGAGCCAGAGGAGAGTGGGCAGGGCGGACCCGGGTTCGAACCCCAGCATCCCAAAGGGTTCCCCAAGTCCAGAAGTGATCCGGACTGATCCCAGAGTGTAGAACCAGGAGTCCGCCCTCAGCACTGCTGGGTGTGGCCCCGAAACAAAACAGAAAGCCAGAGTAGAAGAAGTGAAAAAAGACAAAGGAGAGAGAGAGAGGATGGAGATGATGGGAGAACAGGGGTGAGTGGATGAAAAAGGAGAGAGGAGAGAGGCAGGGGGAGGCGGAGAGAAGGGAGCAGAAGGGCATCCCGGGTCCAGCCCAGCTCTGCAGGCCCTGGTCCATCCCCGCCTCCAGGCCACCCCAGCACTGGGTCAGGAAGACACCCTGAGCCCCACCGGGTGTGGCCCCATGAGCAGAAAACGCAAAGAGAGAACAGACAGATGGAGATGGAGGGAGAAGAGAGATGGAGATGCAGTGAGAAAGGGGAGGGAGAGAGAGAGAGAGAGAGAGAGATAGGCCAGAGGCTGAGAGACAGAGACAGAGAGGGAGAGACAGAGAGAGAGGGAGACAGACAGGGAGATAAGGAGAGAGAGGGAGACGGCGGGGCGGGGCGGGGGCAGGTGGGCAGGCGGGAGGCAGGGAGAGAGGAGCGGCGTTCACCCCCTCTCAGACCCCCTTGCCAACCTCAGCGCCCCGTCGGGGTCTCTTACCGGCAGGCCTCGGTCCCCAGGGATTCCGGGGGGGCCAGGAGGGCCTGACGGGCCAGCCAGCCCCTGATGGGGACAAAGAGAGTCTCAGGATGAAGGGCAAAGCCTGAGCCAGGCTGCCCCCCGCACAGATGAACCCACGTACACCCCGACTTTCCATCCTGGCCTGTCTAGGCCTCAGACTTTGAGCCCCCAGGTCCGACCAACAGTCTTGGCCTGGCCCAGCCACAGCCTCCCAAATCTTCACACCCCCTGTCCGCAAGAGAAAGGGCCAGGGAACACAGCCAGCACTCACCCGAGGTCCTGGGGCTCCCGGAGGGCCCTCAAAGTGCTGTCCCTGTGGGGGGAATGCATGCATGAGCCCCATTCTGGCCCAGGCGCCGCCCGCCCCCCCGGCACCTGGCCCCCCTCACCTGCTCCACCACCGCGGGTTCTCCTTTCTCGCCCTTCTCTCCAGCGTCCTGGGGTGGGAAAGTGGGGAGCCCCAGGGCTCAGGCATGGGACTCTCCTACACCCTCAAGAACACACCCTGCACGGGGCCACGGTTGCACACACGCTGTGTACACACAACTCGTGTGTGCATTCAGGCACACGTGCACACCACATGTATGGACGCATGGCACACATGCTTATACACATGTGCACTGTGTGTAAACACATTCGCACACACCACACAGGCACATGCATGTATTTACACATGCACACACCCGGGTGTAAGAAACGTGCTTATGCACAGACAGCCAGGACTAGCCCCTGAGCAGGGTGCGGCCCCCCAAATAATGAAGAGGAAGAAGGGGGGTTCCAGCAGGCTCCCTCCCCTTCCCGAAACCAGCACTCCAACTCACTGGAAAGATCTGGAAGTGTGTCCGCAATGACCGTCCTGCTGCCCGGAAGTTGGGGCCCATGGTGGGGTCACCCCCTTCCTCGCCCTCTCCGGCCAACGCCGGGTCCAGAGTCTCCAGTTCCGATCCGCTATCAGGGTCCAGGAGGCCCTGGGGATGTCAGCACAGACCCACGTCGGCCCCTGTCAGCTCCTCGTGTCGGATCCAGCCCCATCTCCTTCACACTGACCTCGGGGATAGTGATGTCACCGCCCACGCTCACGGTCACCGGGGCCGTGATGTCCACGGGCGAGGGGCTTGGAGGCGGGCTCGGAGCAGGCTGGGGCGCCGGGTGGGAGCCGTGAGTGGCGTTCTGCGTGACAGACAGGCGGCTCAGCCAATGAAGGCAGAGGGGGGGCGGGCGCAGGGATTTCGGCTCTCGCCGCTGACAGTGGTTCGAGCCCCGTGTGCGCATGAAGTGTTTCCCCTCCCCCGTCCCCTGCCCGCTCCAGCAGCCCGGAGTTGGGATAGAGTCGGGAATCCCGAAACACTGACAGAAAGAGGGCTGGGGGAGCACCGACCGAGGGGACGCCCGGACTGCGGGGTTCCTCCGAGCCTTGGCACGGGCATGCGGGCCGGGGCAGCCAGCAGGGGGAGCCCTGGCCTGCAGGCGGCGCCGGGGGCTGACCGGGGCTGGCCGGGGCGGGGAGGCCGCGCTGCAGAGCCCAGGGCCAGGGTCAGGGAGCAGCCCTGGGGCCAGGCTCCGGGAAGCGCCCCCACATGACCTTCCGCAGGCAGAGCGGGGCGCCAGCGGGAAGGAGTGGCCCGGGAGAAACTGGGTCAAGGGTGCAGGGAGAGAGAGAGAGAGAGAGGGGGAGAGAGAGAGGGAAGGAGGGATGGACAGAGACACAGACAGACACACATGGACACACACGTACACACCCGTATTGTGGGGGGAATGCTCCCCCCCAACACCAGGGCCGTCGCCAATGCTGGCCCCCCTCAAAGGCCCTTGCCAGGGACATCACCCCAAACCCACCAACGACCCAAATGAATCCTACAACTGGTGACCTTGCAAGGATTCCCAATTTAGCCTGAGACAGTCCCCCCCCCCCGGGGCCCCCATCAATGACTCAGAACCAGTGACGTTCCAACAAGACTCCCCACTCCGTGGCCCCACTCACCACCAGCCCCGCTGCCATCTCCATCTCCTCCAGGATGCCCTGAGAACCAACCAGCCTAGAGTGACCCCCTCGCCCATGAATCCCAGTTCCAGCTCCTGTGACACCCCCGCACCCTAGTATCAGCCCCAATCTCCCCCGAAGGGTTCAACCTAAGACGCTGAGAACAAAAACCCTCTGAGCATCCCCCACCCCAGAGCTGGAGGTTAGGGGGGTCGGGCACCGCGTCAGGAGGATGGGAGGTGAGAGGTTGGGCAGGAGATGAAAATCTAGGCAGGAGGTAAGAGGCAGGAGGGAGGTGAGAGGCCAGGAGGCAGAGGAGAGAGGCCAGGCATGTGCGCGTGAGAGGTGGCGCCCCTTACCTGGGTCTCTGGGGCGCCAGGAGGTGGGGTCACGGTGCCTGTGTTCTTGTTCTTCTTTCGGCCCTTGCCCTTGCCCTTACCCTTCTTCTTCCCCTTGCCCTTCCCCTTCCTCCTGGGGGCTGGCGTCTCTGGCTCCACCTGGGGGTGCTGGGAACAGGTGCCCATCAGCTGCTCACCCAGGCTACAGCCCTGGAACTCCTGCCCTGGGCACAGGCGGTTCTGGCAGAGCTCCCGAAGCCAGGGATGGGAACCTGAGTCAGGGCTCGGAACGGGCCTTGGATCTGGGGGAGTTTAGGACGGAAGCGTTCCTCCAGGCTGGAGCCCCCCCCCACTCACTTCCGAGTGTTCGGGGTGCGGCTGGTCACAGCCCAGAAGGTGCCTCTCGCAGGCCTCGAAGGCAGCGCGGGGGTCGGGGATGATGATCAGGTCCTGAATGTGGCCCTGGAAAGAGCGGAAGAGGGGAACAGTACAACAGCACGGTGGGAAGGGTGTTTGCTTTGCACACGGCGACCGGGGACCGATCCCCGGCATCCCATAGGGGCCCCCGAGCACTGTCAGGAGTAATTCTACACCCCGCCCTGTGCTCTCCAACCCAACCCCCATTTCTCAGCCCTGCCCCCCCAGAACCTGGGCCTGGGCCTTTCCCCTCCCCAAGCCCCCTGAGTGGGACCCTCCAGACAGAGAGGGGAGAAGCGCTGAGCAGGACCCCTAAAGCATGCCTGCCGGTCACGCGTCCCTTTGGGGCACAATAGCTCCAGGGGTGGGTCCCCAGAGCGACCCTGGAGAGGTTGAGGATGGGGGGGCCAGAGGGACGCGTAGGATGAGATCCCTGAGTCTCGTGGAAGTGACACATCTATATGACGCACACAGGCACGTGCTCCCCAGCCCCTCAAAACAGGCCAGCATCTGGCCTCATGCTCACCCTCATCACACAGTACCCCGGCCACCTGCATAGCGGCATGCCAACCCCGACTCCCCGTCTGTGGGGGCACCACACCATCCTGTCCTGCCGCAGCCCCCCCATGCCCCTTCTCTCCATCTCCCGTCTCCCTCTATGCCCCATGCCAACTCTCTGGACTCAGGTTGTGACGGATGTCGCCCCGTCCCCCCAAAACCCCTCTACCTCAAAGGCCTCCTCTCCAGGGTCGTGGGTCCCCAGGACGGTGAGTCCAGCCGGGCTGACCGAAGGAGGCCCCCAGCCTACAGCAGGTGGCTGCGGCACACAGTCAATGACCAAGGTCACCGCCACGCCGTCCACGCTGACCGCCAGCCGGTGCCATCTGCGAGGGAGAGAGGCCCAGTGTATGTGTTGGGGAGGGGTCCACCTCCCGCGTCCCCTCCCCAGGACCCCCTGCTACCCATGTCTTTGCTCACCTGCCGTCCGTGAGGTTGACCTGCTCGGGAAGGGAACGGAAGGGGTCCCCGAGGATGCCCCGCGTCGGCCCGAGGGCCAGGCCCAGCTGTCGCCTGCCATCCTGGCCATACACGGACAATAGCACGGACGGTGGGGCCGGCCGGGACCGCAGCGTTGTCAGCACCGAGAAGCGCTCAGGGAGCCCGTCTGGGGGCGAAGGGCAGCTCAGACGGCCCAGCAGGGACCCCCAACACGGCACCCTCCCCACCACTCCCAGGGCGAGATTCCGCGCCCGACCGCGTCCACTCACCCGGGAACAGCTCCCGCGTGGGGACTGCCAGGGAACTGGCCTTGTCCACCGAGAAAGCTCGGTCCCCCTGCGGGGTCCTCTGGGGACACAAGCCAGGCACCTCTGAGACACCAGCCTGGCCCCCCCGGACACCTAGGGCGGCCAGCACATCCACGGGGTCTGCAGAGAGAGGAGGGGGGAGATGCTCAAAGGACCTCAGGGCAGCTCAGGTGGGGGGACTCCCCCTCTGTGTCTGTGGGTCCAGGAAAGGGCCAGCACCCCCGCCCCCACAGCTGTTCCAGCCTCATCAGCCTGTTGACTCTTGTTTTTATTTCTTTGCTTGGTTTTTGGTGAGAACCATAGAGAAAAAAAAAAAGCTGACCTAGTTCTGGGATGAATCAAAGCTTCCTGGCCTGCGCCCCAGAGTCAGACTGTCCCTCATCCCGCTCCACACGCCCCCACACCGAGTCCCTGGGGCTGTGTCTGGGGCCCTGCACCGCCTTACGGGGGGGGGGGGGAAAACCCTACTGGGAGGAGGTCAGTCACGTGTCCTGAGCCCCTCCCCCGGCTCTTCCTCCCACCCCCTCCCAGACCACCCTCACCCCTCCCCTGACCTCCTCCCTCTGACTGCCACCTCTCCTGACCCTCTGTCCTCAGACCCCCTCTTTGACTAGCATCACCCGTGACCTCCCCCCTCCACTGCCACCTCTCCCGATGCTTCCTCTCTCTGACTTCCTCCTCGGCCACCATCGCCCCGACCTCCTCCCTCTGAATATGCCTCCCGGACCTTTCTTCCTTCTGACTTCCCCTTTGGTGTTTTTGCTTTATTTTAGTTTTTGGCTCTTGGGCGACACCCGGGGATGCTCAGGGCTGACTCCTGGCTCTGTGCTCAGGAATCACGCCTCGTGCTACTCGGGAACCCTCTGGGATGTCGGGGGTGCGAAGCAAACACCCTCCCCTTGGACCAACACCCTGCAACCTCCTCCCTGACCACAGCCACCTCGGACCCCCTCCCTCCTACTACCCTGACCTCTCCCTCTGACTACCCCTACCCCGTCTGGCCCCCTCTCCCATTCCCTCCTCCATCCTTGACCTCTGACCTCCTCTCTGTCTGATAACCCCTGACCTGCCCCACCCCTGCCAAGGGAAGGCCCCCTTCAGCCAAGCAGACCCCAGCCAGGCCTTCCCGCCCGTCCCACCCCACCCAGCCCGCCAGGGCTAAGTGGAACCACATGGCCGGGGCCAGGGGGAGGGTCCCTGCTTGCCGGCCCCCCCAGACTGTCCCACTAACCCCCTGACCCAGCCTCCTCTTGGCAGGAGTCAGCAGCAGTTGTCAATTTGCCCATGACCTCGCCCTGGGGGCGGCCGTGCTGACCTCACCGCTGGCAGCGGGGGTCGGGGGGCCAGGCTGGGGGGAGGCCAGGCCAGAGGACACAGAGCCCCCTGCAGTGAGCAGATTCCCTCCCCGCCCTGGCCCTCCTCTACCCAGACTGTAGGGGGGTCTCTGCGGGCCCATCTGCCCGGCTCCACCCCCCAACCCTGATGCCTTTTCTTGGTTCTCCCATCATCTTCCCAACTGCTTCTCTCTCTCTCTCTCTCTCTCTCTCTCTCTCTCTCTCTCTCTCCTCTCTTAATTGTTTTGGTTTTGGGGCCACACCGGGTACCACTCAGGGGTCACTCCTGACCATGCCTAGAGACACTGTGGGGTGCTGGGCAAGTGCCCTCCGGCTGTCCTGTCTCCTGCCCCCTTCTCTCTCCACCTGGATACCGGCAGCCACTTCCTGGCCCCCCAACCCGAGTGCCCCCTAACTGCCCCCTATCCCAGAGTGTTCACTCACTGCTCCCAATCCGAGTGCTCACTAACTCCCCTATCCCAGAGGACTCGCTAACTGCCGGCTCTGTGACTGGGTTGTCCCCAGACTAAGATTCGGGGCTCCCAGGCTCAGCAGACAACAAAGGTCACCCCTCCCCCGCAAGCTGGGGAGAGGTGAGCCCCGTAATTCACCCGGTGTGACTGTCCCCAGCTCCCACTAGCTCGGATTTCCCCCACACACACCACGGCAGCATCAACAAACTAGGGTTTCCCGCCACCAAGCACCCCGCCTGCATGAAAAGCTCCTGACCCCAAGTCCCAGCTTCCGTGGCGGGGTCCCTCCGGGTGACCTTTCGGAAACTGACCGCCCTTTCTTCTCTCGCCTGGCGGCTGCACAACCACACACACAAGAGCCATTGAACCCGGCTGGCGGGGTGGGGGTCCCTGCAGAACCCCACGGCCCTGCCCCCACCGCCTTGCTCCTATGCAGCGGGTCCAGGCCTCAGGAAGTGGGGGAAGAACTCGGCGGGATCTTGGGTGGAGAGAGGGGCGCAGTGGGCAGCGGGTGTTCCTGCAAATCCCCTGGGGGTTCGGGTGGGGGAAGCGAGATTGCCAGGGTGTTCTTGGGGGTTGGGGTGCACGTGCTGTGGGTGTGCCCAGGGCCCAGCGCAGACAGGAGAATGACCCTCTGCAGACAGCCGCCTGTCCACCTCTGTCCACAGGCGTGTCAGCATGTGCTGAGCCTGGGCCGGGGGCGGGTGACAGGCTGCGGCCACCGGCGGCGCTGTCTGGGCGTGGGAACCGGCCCGCGCCCACCTGACCTCGAGTCTGGGTTTTGTGGGGGCTGCAGGTTTTGCAGGGATCTGCGGAAAGGGCCTGGCCTGGGATCTCTCACCCAGAGAAGCCTCTTGGACCTCCACCTGGGGGCCCTGCGCTTTCCGCTGTGTCCCCCCCCACCCCGCCCCGTGCCCTCGCCCCCGCGCCCCCCACCCAGAAGCCGAGGGGCAGGGCTTGGAGTCCCGCCAGATGCGCGCAGCTGGGCGTGCGTCAGCGCTGACTCACCCGGCCCGCGGCCCCCCGGGACCCTTGGGGGGGGATGCCCTGAGAAATTCCACGGGAAAAGAAACACCCGAGGCTCCGAGGCTGGGGTGGGGGCAATTTCCACTCCCGCCCCCGCCTGCGCCCCACCCCGCCCCGCGGGGGCCCCGCCCCACCACGGCCGTCCAGACCCCTGTCCATGGTGCTGATCGGCTCTGGGCGCAAAGGGGTGGGGGGGCCTTGGGGGGGCAACAGGCACAGAGGAGGCCGAGGAGGAGTAAGGTGAGGTTATTTAGGGGAGATGGCGAGGGCACCCCGAATCCCCAGGGGAATCACGGGGAACCACATCGTGGGGTCCACATTCCTTTCGGCCTCAATCTCGGCCACACCCTCAGAGAGGGTTCCCCAGAGACCAGGCAGGATCACAGCCACGGCTCCCCTACCCCCAGATACCCACAGCCCAGACCCCATGCAACACTCGTCCCAGCACCCCAACTCATGCCGTCCACTCCAGCCCCCCCAACGCCCACACACAGTTCTGGCCACGCCCACAGTGGCAGCTCACAGTTGGTCACACCTTTGCATGACCACACTCCTGCAGACACACGCACTCACATTCTCACACACGCACACTCACGCACTCGCGTGCACACATTTGCACACACCCATCTGCAATCAATCACGCACACGCATGCACACACGTGCAAACACGCTCATGCACACACATGCAAACACACTCGCACACATTCACACTCATGCACGCACGCACACGCGCGCACACACACACACACACACAATCTCCGCACACTGACCTTGGGGCCAGCTCCCCAGGCCCCCCCCAGCTGTCACAACCTCCAGGCTCCATAGTAGTTGCAGAGGCGCAAACACCGCGTCCCCAGGCCCCTGCACGCCCCCCACCCTCAGGCCACCTCCCTATCCGGATCCCGCCCTCCGGGGTCCCCAGCTCCTCAACCCTCAGCTCACCCGCCTGCATCCGGGGCAGCAGCTGAAGCGCGAGCAGGAGCAGGCAAGGGCCGGCCCGAGAGGGATCCCGGCCCAGGGGCCCCCCCATCCCGGCGGGGCGCTTGCTCGGCTCCGGGCGCGCTCGCCGCTCTGCTCCCGGCCGCCAGGACCGGCTGCGACCAAGACCCGCCCGGCCTCGCCCTGATAGGCGGAGAGGGCGGCGGCGCCGGGCGTGGGGCGAGGCTGTGCCGATTGGCCGCGAGGTGCTGGGGCGGACCCCGCGCCTGGGCGCCCCACCCATCGGCCTTAGAACTCGGGGCGCCCCAGCCCCGCCCCAAACCCTCTCCTAAGGACAGGGCTCTCCGTGGCGAGTCAGCCTCATTCAAACTTTTTTTGTTTTGTTTTTAGTTTCTGGGCCACACCCGGCGATGCTCAGGGGTGACTCCTGGCTCTGCGCTCGGGGATCGCTCCTGGCGGGCTCCGGGGACCACATGGGGTGACGGGGACGGAAGCCCGGCGGCCGCGTGCAAGGCGAGCGCCCTCCCAGCTGCGGGCACATCATTCAAACTTTTTTTTTGCTTTTGGTTTTTGGACCGCACCTGGCAGTGCTCCGGGCTGACTCCATACTCACTTCTTCATCCCTTATCCGGTCCTCGAATTTGCGTCCAGGTTTAGGATTAGGAATGACAGTTTAACAGAATCTTGCCTGACTTAGGGTCACACGCATCCCCCCGCAAATGGGGACCCAACCTCCTAATTTTTCTCTCCCCCCTTTTTCTCCCTCTTTCTCCCCCTCCCCCTTCATTTTTTCTTCCCCCTTCCTCCCTCCCTCTTTCTCTCCCTGCTCCCCTCCCCCTCTCTCCCTCTCACCTTACCTTCCATGGCCCCTCACTACCAACTTCAGCCCCTCACTGCTGGAGGGAGGTCCTGGTATCCCCACCAAAGCTTCCCCTTCACCCCACCCTTCACACGCAATCCAAACCTCATTCCAGATTCCAAATCGGGGTTCCCAACCCGACCCCCCCAATCCTCATCTCCACTCAACTCCCAGAACTGGATATCCCACCTTCACTGAAACTATTTTTTCAAACACCCCCCCCCCACAAAACAACAAAACCCCCTCTCCACCTTCTGATAAAGGGTCCCCACTGTCCCCCAGCCCCTCTCCTCGCGGGACTCCAAAAAATACCCCAGCTCTTATTACACACTGTCAATTTAGGGGGAGTCAGGGAGGATCCCCGCCTTTTGGCTGGGGAGCAGGGGGGCCCTTCTTCCCTGCCTGGAGATCCCCCAGACCCAGAGACCAGCACGCGCATATGGAATCAGAGGGTACTGCTGCGGGAGGAATCCCAGGAACAGACCCACAACTCCTGGGGAGAAGCCCGCAGGACCACCTCCTCCCGGACAGGTCTGGTCTCTGAGAGGAGAGGGTAGGCCCCGACAGGCCCTAGGGGGAAGGTTCCCCGCTGCTCACACCCCAGGGGAGAATGAGGCAATGGTCACTCAGCCTGAGACTGCGAGCACAGAAGTTCCTGCTCTATCTCGTCTATCCTCTGAACACCCCCTTTGAGAGACCCCTGGTTGGGGTGCACCCTCTGTTGGGGCCCAGAATGCTCAGAGGTGGGTGGGGGCAAGAGTACTGTGGATAAGATGCTCCTTACACAGGGTAGATCAGGGTTGATCCCCAGTGCCCCAGAGGATCCCGCTGGGAGTGATCCCTGGGTGCAGAGCCAGGAGTCAGCCCTGAGCATCACTAGGTGTGGCCCAGAAGCCAGAAAAAAAAAAGAGAGTCAGAAGAAAGAAGGGTCAGGGAGGGGGTGGTCAGAGGGAAGCCCCCGCTCTCCCCATCTCCATGAGACCCCCCGAATAATTCAGTCCTGAATGGAAGCACCCCCACCACACCCCTTTAGGAGCACCGCAGTCGGCAGCCGACACGAAAGGGCGGAAACGGGGTGCATCGGCCCCCGCCCTTTGCTGGTCCAGGGTCAGTTTGAAATCAGAGATCTCTGGGAGGGGAGTGGGTCAGGATGAGGGAGGCACCCGCGGATCGGTGAGAGAGTTGGGCCAGGAAGGGAGGGGGCACCCGCTGAGCTCATAAGCCCAGCGAGGCATTAGTATGGCCAAGGCTGCAACCCAGACAGTGCTTATCTCGGGGTGCTCCTCGGGAATTGGCCTGGAGCTGGCTGTGAAGCTGGCCCATGACCCCAGACAGCGCTACCGAGGTGAGGGGGTGCATGGGAGGGGTGCTGGGAAGGGGTGCAGGACTGCACTCCGGGCAGAAACCCCAGTTCTACCTTCCAGCATTCGGGCGTTTGGAAGGAAACTCAGGAACCCCCAGTGCCTCTGCCGGTGACTCAGGCCTATGTCCAGTTTCCGGATACCCATTCTAGTGGCTGGGGTCACCGCACACAAAACCCCAGAGAGAAGCATCCGGGGCAGCGGGGGAGGCCAGAAGGCAGATGTGGAAACCGGCTTATGTGGCAAAGGGCAACAAGGCTGGGGAGCAACGTGAGGGGGAGGTGGGGGGGTGCCCCGGAGAACTTTATTTTCTTGGAGGTGTCAGGCGTAGTGCTGGGGACAGAACCGGGGTTCCTGCCTGCAAAACCTGGGGTTCTGGGACTGAAGCGATACTACAGTAGGGAGGGAGCTTATTTTGCATGCGGCTGACCCAGGTTCAGTCTCCAGTGACCCATAAAGTCCCCCTCACACCTCACACCGCCAGGAGTAATTCCTGAGTGCAGAACCTGGAGTCACCCCTGAGCTTGGCTGGGTGTGGCCCCAAAACCAAAACCAACAAAACTCAGGGTCCCACTGAGCCTCTACCCAGCCTGAGTGTGTGTGTGCGTGTGGCGGGGGGGGGGGGGGGTTATATCCGAAGGGGCTGGGCTAGCAGGTTTTTTTTGACACCCCCTCCCTCTAGCTCGTTGCAGATTACTACTCCGAGATAAGCCGCTGGGGTGCCCTTAGCTGGCAGGGCTTAAGGGGGCCCTGGCTAGGCTTAGGGACTTGGCCTCCTGCTACCCTGCGGAAAAGTCTCCAAAACGGAGGACTGCCCCCTCCCTCCCCACCCCCAGAAGAGCTTCTGGCCCAGAGTACACTGGGGCTGCAGTCGGCAAAGGGCCGTTACTACTGACGACGAGGCAGGGGAAGGCCCCGGCAGGGCTTCATCCCTCTGCCCACTGGCCCAGAGGCAACAGCTCGGGCTGCAACGGTGCCAGGGCTGCCAGCCAGGGCCTCTGTGGAGCATCGCCATTCTAGGTCATGCAATCGTCTCAGCACCCGGAAAAAATGCTAGCTGGAGGGATGGTGGGTGGGTGAGGACGGAGGAAGGGATGAGGGATGTGGCGGATGCGTATGCTGAACGAGGGCTAATGAATGGATGAATGTATTGATGGAAGATGGGAGGGACAGACGGATGGGAGAAAAACGGGTGGGTGGATCAATGACTGATAAATGAATGGATGGATATATTGATGGATAAAGGGATGGATGGGTGGGTGGATGGATGGATGATGAGTGGAGGGATGGATGGAAGGGTAGATGGATAGATAATAGGTACGTGGATAAATGTATGAATGATAAATGCATAAATGGACAGAAAAATTGATGGAGAAAGATGAAAGGATAGATAGATGGAAGGATAAATAAATGGAAGAATGGATGGACAGATAAATGCATGGATAATAGGTGAGTGTGTATATGGATGAATGAGTGAATGAATAAATTAACGAATAAAGGGAGGGAGAGATGGAGGAATAGGTAGGTGGATGAGCGATGAATGGATGAAGGGTGAGTGGGTAATGGAGGGGTGGGTGGGTGGATGGGTGATGGATGATTTGGGTGGACGGATGGGTGGGTGGATGACGATGAATACACTGACAGATAATGGTTGGTGGATGGATGACCCCGTGGTCATCCAGAGATTAATAAATGCATAAAGCATACTTGGGGTTGTGTGTTGTCGACTCCCAGTGTCTGACCCTGTGCTCTCTGCCTCCTGGTGACAGGTAAGTACACACAGGGAAGTGTCTGTGCCAACTCTGTTCTCTGTCCCCAGTGGTGGCCACCATGAGGGACCTGGGAAAGAAGGGGGCACTGGAGGCAGCTGCTGGGGATGCTCTGGGGTGCACCCTCACGGTGGCCCAGCTGGACGTGTGCAGTGACGAGTCTGTGGCCCAGTGTCTCAGTGACATCCCGGGAGGGGATGTGGATGTGCTGGGTGAGACTGGGCCCCCCTCCCTGACCCCCTTACCCCTTACTGTTCTTATTACCTGAGCAGAATCCCAGTTCAGCAACCGCCCCATCTCCAGACAGAAAAGGGGGTTGACCAGTTGGCTCAGAGTTGGGAAAAACAGTTTAGGGGGAACAGAAGAAGTGAACTTTCCTGGGAAAGGGGTGGGTTCTCACCAAAAGAAACTTCTCCCATATGGAGAAAACCATATGTGGTGTAGTGGGGGGGAATAATCGCCCTGATGAGTCATTTGGGGGAAGTGTGATGAAGAAGCAACTCATGGTCCCCAAGGGGCATTAGAAGGCAGGCGGGTGGGGCTGTTTTGCTGCAATTTGGGGTCATGCTTAAAGGGAAGGCTGTTCCCAGCAGCCCTTCCTTCCCCAGGGCCCAAGGCTCCCCACAACATGTGTTAGAACTATATTTAAAAATGATTCAGGAGGAACCCTGATGATTCAGGAGGGCTTGAGATCCTCATGAAAACCTGCTCCCCATCGTCCCCCTCAGTGAATAACGCCGGTGTGGGCCTGGCAGGGCCACTGGAAGGACTCAGCCTCGCTGCCATGCGGAACATCTTTGACACTAACTTTTTTGGGGCTGTCCGTCTGGTGAAAGCTGTGCTCCCTGCTATGAAGAGAAGACGACGGGGCCACATTGTGGTGGTCAGCAGCGTCATGGGGCTGCAGGGTAAGCTCCAGGGAAGGCCTCCCCGACACACATGCACAATGTCTGACCTTCCCCAGCCCCACGGGGAAGGCTGGTCAGGAGGCCTGAGCCCATATTCCCCCTGAATGCCTGCAGTAGGGGAAAGCTCTGAGATCCATTAGTTATGCCTGCCATGGCACGGCCTTCGCTGGTGGTGGTACAGCTGCTGACAATGGGTCAAAGGAAGCCCAACAAGCCATCATCCCCACCCCACCCTGCACTTCCTCCCCACCCAGACCCAATGGAAATACCAGAACTCTTTTTCCTGAGGCTCCTACTTGCCACCCTTCTCCCACAACCAGAGACTTCTCCA